TCCATGCTGTTGACATCTTTGATGCTCTGGCAATGGTTTCTGAAGACTTCCTTCTTCGGCGCCCTTTTTGTTCGCTCAGACACGATGCTTGGTCTTCCTGAACGTTGTTCAACACGACAATGGCCTTCTACATTAAATTTCTTGACAATATTATTAACCAATTGATGATTAACCTAGAAAAAACAAAGCAATTTCTCTATTTGACTTACCACTCTGATGCCATCCTATTATTTTCCCTCGTTGAAATTTACCAATTTCCTTACTTCCGCGAACTTTCATTGCAAAATACAAGTCAACTATCGTTCATAAATGAGAGTAGCTTGATACTAACAACGTATTGACTGAAAAAAAGAAGAGACGTCATTACACAAGCTAAAATTGCTGTAATCAAGGGTGGCTAAAAACTTATAATTGATCACTGTGATGAATAACGGCTCAGAAATTGAAAATCAGAGAACGGAGTTCCAATTCCAGTTGGGTTCGTTATATTCATTTGCACGCATATCCACTTGGAAAATATATGAATCCACCGCTTATGGCTTACTTATTAGGACTTACATCAGTAAAATCATTATCACATCTAAAAAAATGTTTACAATTTGAAATATTTTATGGCTTTAAATAACCTGCAAAGAGGGATTAAGCGGTAAAGAACAAATTAGTCAATCTTCTTCCTGTGTTCGTATTCGCCATGAGATTGCCCAAATTAAGAATGAACTCAATTCTTTCTTTCCTTCTTTCTTCACTCACATTTCTTTCTTTCTTTTTTTACCTAATTTCTTTCTACCTCCTTATCTTTCATCCTTTTCTACTTCTTTCTCTCTCCCTACTTTCATTCTTTCTCATTCCTATCTTTTTGCTTTTGTTTTTTTCTTTCTTTTTTTAAATTATTTCTTTCTTTCTTTCTTTACACTATTTTTTCTTTCTTTCTTTACACTATTTTTTCTTTCTTTCTTTCTTTCTTTCTTTCTTTCTTTCTTTCTTTCTTTGTCTTTCTTTTTCTTTTTTCTTTCTTTCTTTCTTTCTTTTTTATTCACTTCTTTCTTCTTTTTCTTAAACTATTTCTTTCTTTTTTCTTTCTTTCCTTCTTTCTTTACTTCATTCTTTCATTGATATTCATATTTCATTTTTAAAGTATTTCTTTCTTTCTTTCTTTCTTTCTTTCTGTCTTTACTTAAACTGTTTTTCTTTCTTTCTTTTTGTCTTTCTTTCTTTTTCTTTTTTTTCTTTCTTTCTTTCTTTTTATTCACTTCTTTGTTCCTTCCTTTCTTAAACTATTTCTTTCTTTTTTTCTTTCTTGATCATTCATATCTTAACATCACCGTTTGTACAATTGTCATTTATATGTTTAAATGTTTGTGTTGATTCTTCGCTGGAGAGGGAAACGTTAATTTTCAACGGTCAAACTTACAAGGAATTAGTTTCTAAGCACGAGGAAGCAGCTGCGTCTGAAGTAACTCTGATATAAATGGAAAAGATACCCCGGACGCCATTGATTTCAATTCTCTACCAAGAACGTTTAATAATCAGAGCAGAGACCCGGAGTCTCCTCAAGTCTTGATGAACGTGTGTACTCGATGAGACTACTTGCCTTGAACGTTTATTGGGAATCAAGTTTATCCTAGACCTCAAATGGAAGTCATGTATACGATCCATCGCTAAAGACGCTGAAAAAAATGGTCGGTTCCCTGTACCGCTCCAGTAAGTACCTGACTCCTCATTTCATGCCCTATCTTTACAAGAGCCAGATCAGACCAAAAATAGAGCATTTCTGCTACAACTTAGCTTTGGCTGCCAAATCCTCACATTCCAGCTTTGACAGAGTTCAAAAGCGTTTGCGCCGCCTTGTGAATGATGAACTGATTTCCACCGTTCAACTCCTTTTTTATAGATAAAACGCTGCTAGACTCTCGCTATATTATCGCTATATTCATGGCAGATGTTCGAGTTCCAACCAGTGAAAAAAGCACAGCTAGAAGCAGCTAGACCATGTACAATAAATCGATTCATCCTCGTTCGCTTCATATTCCATTTGTGAGAAGGAAGTTCAGCTCAGGCAGATTCTTCCCCAGAACTGTTACATTAGGGAACATACTCCCGAGATGATACTTCCTTGATTACTAAACACTTAACTTCTAAGTCTAGGGTCAACTGTCATCTATCCTACATATCCTCATAATATTCCCTTGATCTCTCCTCTCACGTCCTTAAAACGACCTTATTGAGCAAACGTAGATTTTAAAAGCTATGACATAAAAGTTTCTGTCCTTTTAATCCTTGATTTGAAGTCGGTTAATTTATTTCCTGTTTAAACATTGATTTTTATTGATGCTACCAATATTGGATTAATATTATTGACCATTTAAATAATCATTTCCGTGGCTGGAGGAAGGTTGGTTGCAATGCATTGCTTTGTATTTATTATTTGTATTGATGCGGCATTCAACCGGGGCGGATTGAGCCGGCTTCTTCCTGTTGACTCATTCGTAGTCATGTGAGAAGAAGATTCTTGGGATAAATTACAGAAGTAGGGTACCCAGGCCTACTCGAATAACGTTCTTGCTTGCCGCGGGATTCCCACAGACGCAGAGACAGGAACGACCAGAAGCCGCCGGTTGCCAAATTGAAAAAAATAGAAGAAAAATTGAAAGAAAAAAGAAAGAAAATAAACAGAAAAAAGAAACAGAAAAAATAGAAACAAGAATAGAAAAATAGAAAAAAATAGAATAAACAAATGGGAAGAAGTAGAAAAAAAGGATAGATAAAAATTTTAAAAAATAGAAAAAAAGAATAGAAAAATAATAACAGCAAATAAAAACGAAACAGAAGAAAAGAAATAGTAAAAGAATAGAAAAATAGAAAAAGTGTAGGCAAAAAAAAAAAGAATAAAGAAAGAAAAATAGAAAAAAGAAATAGAAAAAAAATAAAGAAAAAGTAGAAAGAAATGAATAGAAAAAGTAGAAAAAATAAAAAAAAAACAATAAAAATATTAATAGAAAGAAGAATAGAAAAAACGATTTCAAACAACAAAATTCTTTACAGCCAAATAACTTAAAAAATAAGTTTAGCATTGATTTTTGATTTTTAATTTTATTTTTCAATAAATATAGAAAGTTGGGTAAGCTTGGTTAATTTAATAACATATGAACCATTATTGGATTATTTAATACCGAATATAAATTTTATAAGCTAAAATTACAATGAATTTAGCACATTAGTCTACTGTCCACTAACGCTCGAGTGTACATTGCATTGGTTCAAATACTGTGTATATTTGATTGGCTCAGGTCAACATGATGATCGATCTCCTTGCCGATGTCATTGCTTAGGTAAGGTTGATTATTTAAAAACATATCCATCATTACCGAGTTATTTAATATCGAATATATTTTTTATAAGATAAAATTTACAATGAATTAATTGACAGGTTGGCACAGGCACGTTTTTATACTAGAGTATAAAATGAAGAAATAAATCCGCTTTACATTAGAGTAAAAAAAATCAAAATTAAGTCTGGTTTTACACCAAAGTCAAAAGGAAAGACATAGTTCCGTTTCATACTTAAGTAAAAAAGAAGACATACGTCCCGTTTACACTAGAATACTAAAAAGTAGACATATGTCCAGTTTACACGAGAATACTTAAAAAGAAGACAGGCCCGGTTTACATTAGAATAATAAAAACGTAGAAATAGGTCCTGTTTACACTAGAATACTAAAAATAGTAGACAAAGGTCAGGTTTACACTAGAAGAATAAAAAAAAGTAGATATAGGTCCCAGTTTACAATAGAATAATAAAAACGTAGGCAAAGGTCCTGTTTACACTAGAATACTAAAAAACTGAAGACAAAGGCCCGGTTTACACTAGAAGAATAAAAAAGTAGACATAGGTCCGGTTTATATTAGAAGAATAAAAAAGTAGACATAGGTCCGGTTTACACTAGAAGAACAAAAACAATAGACATTGGTCCGTTTACACTAAAAGAATAAAAACGTAGAAAGAGGTCCGGTTTATAGTAGAAGAATAAAAAAGTAGACATAGGTACTGTTTACACTGGAAGAATACAAACGTAGATATGATTCCTTTTTAAACTAGGAGAGTAATAAAAATTAGATATTGGTCCGGTTTACACTAGAATAATAAAAATGTAGACATAGGTACGGTTTACAGAAGATTCAAAAAGTTGTACACACTCCCAGTTTACACTAGAGTCGAAAAGGTAGATATAGGCCTGGATTATAACCTCTGGTGGTTTCTGCTTGAAGTGGTGGAGGAGTTTACGTGATCCACTGACTCAGAAGGCAATGCCGTCGGGAGTTCTAAACTCCTGGTAGTGTCACTCTTGGCAGTAAGGTCGAAGACGGGGAGCAAGATTAAGCGCGACCAACCTCAAAGACCCCAACAAGCATTATGATGATTATAACAGATCTCAACAATTGAAGTAGAGGATTAAGTGGGCTACTCATGTCGGGCACGCTACAGAAAGCGCCACTCGAAACTATAACAGAGTCAGCGGCAGTCCGTTGCAGATTCATAACTGGATTCTGTATGTCTCATTCCATTTGTGCCGCAGGGAAGGTCATGAAATCAAGCGTCTGGTTCACTTACTGGCAAATTGAGGTCCACCTTAAACAAATTCACGCCATCGACATTTTCTGGTACTCTGATTTTCTTTCACTTCCAACCGAAACTTGCATAGCCAAACGGCTTTAGGGAATGGATGACTGGAGCAGGTTTTAGTGAAATTGGAAGCCTCAAGTACTGAACCAGCACGTTGGAGTGCTACGCATGACGGATATGTTACAGAAGGCGCCATTCGAAATTATAATTATTAGCGGTCGCCCGTTGCGGTTTCATAACTGGATCCTGCATGTCTCCTTTCATATGTGCCGCGGAGGAAGATCATGAAATCAAATGTGTGGCTCACTTCCTGGCAAGTTGAGGTTCACCTTAAACAAATTCACGCCATCGACATTTTCTTCTACTCTGACTTTCTCTCATTTCAACCAACTCTTGCAAATCCAAACAGCGACAGGGAATAGATGGCGGGAGCAGGTTTCTACTACTGAACCTGCACGTTGAATTTAGACATCAACGCCATCATCATAACGGAACCAATCAGCAAAGAAGATATTGAATTCTTGGATACGAAATAAATACAACGACGATAACCAAGTTTGTAACAATCGGCGGGAAATGTGGCACTGTCGGCGCTTAGGAATCGCAACAGTGGCTTTCTAGAAATTAAGTAAAATACTGAGAGAGAGAGAGAGAAAGAGAGAGAGAGGGGGGAGAATATGCTTTGACACAAAGAATTATTGCTGAACTGCTATTTGATATGCAAACCTCTACATGGATAATCTTTTCGCTGATAAAGAAAAGACTTGGAATGACGAATGCTGAGAACACCATGGACAGAAGGAGTTAGCGTCGGGGAAGTTTAAAGAAATATAGGATCTAGAGAACATGGGCTTGAATCTGGAAAATGAGCTCGCCATGATTATTTGATAGTCATAAAACAAGAATACTCATTGACATTTTCTACACTCACGTGACCTCATGTTATCGTTTAGGACATGTGAATGACTGGCGATAAAAAGTGCTTATTTATGTTATAAAACCCTCCGTAGCGCTTATAATATAAGTAATGCTTCGGCATCTTACCGTCATACCTGTATTCTCTGTACAGTCTAAAGACTAACTCCAAACGGCTGGTATTTAACAAACCTCCACACAAAGCAGGATGTGGCACAAGACTGGTTTTTACGTGGGGCGATTCCCAAACAGTTCATGCAAGAAATTCACTGTCACTGATGATGTTGGATTTTTGCTCTTATAAATTTCTGGCCATTTTTCTTTACTTACACCGCTGGTGCAACCCATTTTGAATGTTTAAAAATTTTTCTGCTACACCAATTCTTTCGAGTCTGTCTAACTCTTCGTTCACTTGTTGCAAATGGTACGCTTTACTTGAAAATCCGCCTTGAATTTTGAACACCGACCCAGTTCGTTTGAGAAAATATCTGGAAAACATTTTTTTAATTCTTCCTTAAGATTTTAGTCTCGAGTTTTTAAATTGGTCTCTTGTCCACTTACGTTTTTACAATAAACTTTTATCAGCAAATCCCAAAGTTCAAATAGTTTCATCCAGTCAGTACCGAATAAATTTGCAGCATTTCTAATACACGAGCTTTTGTTTTTACATGCTTGTTAGGAAATGAGACATTACAAGTCATTTCTCAAAAAAATAAAAAAAATAAATAAAATTCTCATCAGAAACTGAAATTACAACTTTGGAAGTCCTTTTTAGTAAAGGCTTTCTTATTTCCTTGTATGTGATTTCACTGATTATTGAATTATCACTACCAGTGTTCAGTAGCATTTTCACACACACATTATTTATTTTCTTATTTACAAATTTCCTTTTGTTTTCTATGACAATTTTTCCGTCGCAATTCTGTGTATGAATTTCTTCCTGTGAGAATTTTTGTTTGTTTCGTTTTGCGGCGTGACTTTTTATGTCATCGTTTAACACACCTGAAACACTCTGCGTTTTTAAATTAACAGTCATTTCCAAGATTTAATTTATCAAATCTGAAACAAAGATTTATTTTCCTTTTTGTACGTTTGTCCTTTGCTTATACTAATGCACATTCTTTTTAAAAATTTCTTTGGTAATCCTCCACTATTTCTTGACGTGTAATATTAACATTTTGATCAATTTTCGTTAACATGTTCGCTCTTATTTCAGCATCTTTTTTAGCTGTTAAACCTTGAACGAAAATTAACCCTTTGAACATGTCTGGAGTCATTTTTTTATTATAATCTTTTCACATTCTTTGTTGACGATACCAGCATACATGACAAAATCTTCGTCCTCTTTTTTGGTTAGATTCAAGCGCCTCCAACGAGAATTAAACGGAGAGCTATTGTCACTAAAGATTTTCGTCAGAATGTCTAACGTGCCTTCAAACCCAATTTCACCATTTTTTCACCCTTAATATGTATTTGCAGTATTTTTCATATTCTATCGGGGCTATTTCCGCCAACAGAAATCTTGTTTTTCTCTCATCTTCCCAGCTGGTGCATCCCTGACAGAATATTTGTTCATATGTACGAATATACGCAGAAATCCTCATCAGGATTGTATTCAAATTCTGATATAGTGTTTTGGACAGCGTCTATCGTATGAGTTTCTGAATCCTCGTTAGTGTTATAAGTCCTAAGAGTTCCGAATCTTCGTCACAACGGTTATAAAGAGCCTGTGTTTTTTATCCCTCGTCGCCATTGTTATAACGCAGCGCTTATAATATAAGTAATGTTTCGTCTATCTGCCGTGACACCTGTATTAATTAGTCTGAAGACAGATTCCAAGCGTCTGGTATTTACCAAACCTCCCCACAAGGCAGGATATGGCACAAGGCTAGTTTTTACGTGGGGTGATTGCAAGCCTGTAGACTCGTGCAAAAATTCCCCTTATACTCGCATACACGAGATTCTGCCCGTAGGTATAGCCTCGTCTTGGTTCCTCTCTGCCCGAAGGCAGAGAGGTCGACAAGCCTGTCACGAGATACCTGACTTCAAACGGCTTCTTTTTTTTTACATATGACCTGGAGTTCTTTATTTATAATTATGAGCTAGTTCATATAGTCACTAGGGGTGTACAATTTACATCATAATAATTTTAAAAGAGTAAGAACAACTCAGTTAATGGCTTGGTGAAAGCGAACAGGTTAAAAAACAAACCGTGGAAATGTTTTACTAAATATTTAACGGGGTTATGTTATTGAGGTTCATTTTAGAGTTGCTGCCAGTCAGTGTTAACCTTATATTCTGAACATTTAAATCCTTCTTTGTAGGAAAAAAGAACCAGTTTGATCCTTCGCAAAGATATTGATGCCGATATTGATGTGTCATTGTGCTGGAATCGTCTTGGCCTTGATTTCACGCCAGACCGTCAAAGGAAGCCAACTGCAGAGTTGAGGCCTTATACGCTGCGAACTCGAGAGGTGAACAATTGTGTACCTGACGGCTCCTGATATTGTGCACGCGTGAGTATAACCGTTGGACGTATAAGCAAATCATGTCCGAGATTATTTGAAGAGTTTCCCATACATCGCAGAAGAAATGCAAGGTACGCATATCGGCTACGGGTATGTCCGCATGCCGTAGACTGGCTGAGAGTAACTGACGAAATATCAGATTGAATAAAATGTTAATGCAAATTCAGGTCTTGTTTTTAAATTTTGCCGGCGTATACACTTAATCAAGACTTAAGGGATCGAAAACCGAGATTAGAATAAAATTCCACTTTTCTCTCTTTTTTTCTCTCCAACTTTTGTTTTTATCTAATTATTACCAATTCCGGTGTTTACAGAACCGTCCTGATGAATTGTCAAATTTTCAGTTGATACCTCCCCTGACGTTGCCCTCATAGCTCATGTGAGGGCTGAGATTGGCTTGTATCATTCAATATCCTCTAAAAACCAAGCTAGTAATAATACGCCATCGCCGAGCAGAACATGAATATTCTTCAGTCCTGGTGAAAGTCATACTCTCAATAAGGACCCTAGCCTTGAACGTTCATTATGGGTTTAAGCTCACTCCAGACATCAAATGGAAGATATACAGGAAACATCGCTAAAGATGCTGGAAAAATAGTCAGTTCCTTGTGCCATCCAAGAACGTACAAGATTCTATCATTATCCTCATCTTTGTCGCCATATTGAGGCACAGTGGATAAAGGCGTTAGTTAGATCCAGTGACAGGACCCAAAGAGTGTGAGTTTAATACCCATTTAAGGCAGTGGAGAACTTGGAGAGGGGAATTAACAGGAGATAACTTACAAATGACATCCATTAAACATGGCACGTGGAACTGGAACAGTCTACCCCAGTAAGCGAAATAAAGGGCTCAGAACGACATTCCAACCACCTGAAGAAAGCCGGAGCGTACAACGGCCGAAACGTTGTAATAAATATGGCGACAAAGATGAGGACAATAATCCGAATAATGTAAATAGTATACATAATACCTCATCTCAGAAATATAGATAAAGATTATATCATGCTCTCATAAAGAGAGCATGGTACAGGTAGTCTGAACTATATGAGACCAAAGATAGAGTATTACTGCCACATCTGCACAATTCTCACTTTCTAAACTTGACAGGGTTCAAAAGCGCATACGCGGCCTTATGTGTGTTGAATTATTTTCCACTCTAGAACCTCTTTCCCACAGACGAAAAGTTGCTAGCCTCTCGTTGCTCTATCGCTATTTTCATAGCGAAACTGGTCTTTTGAACAGGATTAGAGGTTATCCCTTGTTTTATGTTTTGGATTGGGTTTCCTATTTTTCTAAAGTACTTTTGTTCTCTTTGACTCCCAATAACCCCTTGCGCCTTAGTGGAACAGAAGTAAAGACTTAACCCTTGTATCCCGTTTATGATTGGGCTTCTAGTTCTTTCTAAAGTATTTTATTTCCTTTTCACTCCCAGTCTTAGCGGCACTTTTGTCTTGCTTCGGGTGAACTGATAAAATGTTCAGGTCTCCACAGCTAGGACACACTATGCTACGTACAGAGAGTCGACTAATCCTTATTCTTTTCGATAAGGAGAAAGTTCCACCCAGACAGCTTCTTTCCTGGAACTGTTACTTTGTGGAACAGGCTCCCAAGAGGATACTTCCTCGATCTCTATGATCTCAAAACATAGTGTCAACATTTACCTATCCTACATTATATCGGTTCAACCGTTATCTGTCTTACATATTCTCCTAATATTCACTTTTTACGAGCTCCTTTTGCGCACTTGCAACAACCTCAGTCAGTAACACTCTCTGGAAAGGCTCTTGGGGCTGGTAATGGATCAACACTAAATAAATAAATAAATGCTTACGGTCACATCACGTTGAAACACTGGTTTTCGTAAGATCACCGATGTTAAGCAATGTTGAACCTGGTTTGTACCTAGATGGGTGACCGCTTAGGAATACCAAGCGCTTTAAGATTGGGTGTCCAGGTTGTGTAACGAATAATGGCTGGAAATTGTTAATTAGAGAGGCGAGTTCCAATTCCCATTAGGTTCGTTATATTCACTTACGCACAAATACCCTTGAGAGTGGTATGAATCCACCTATTCTCCCCACCCCCAGCTCTGGGTTAATTAGTAAGAACTTGTATCACTAAAATATTTTTATCTTCCCCCCCCCAACACGACCAAAAGAAAATCTTACAACCTAAAAATATTTTCTGGCTTTAAATAACCTGCAATGGGTTGATAAGCCGTAATAAACAATAAATAAATAAAAACTACAATTTCTATATTCTTATCCCCCAAAACCAAAGACTTTTCGAATATGGTATCATGACGCTTATATCCGTGGTAGAACTGTATTTGAAAAAAGTTATTGGAAGGAAATTATTGATAATTAATGAATATATGTAAGTAAATAAATTATAATTAAACAACATCTGTTTATACTTCTGAGACGAGGTATTGTAACAATTTACACTATTTACAGTGTTCTCACGGTTGTCTTTATCTTAATTCTAATATTCACGACGTTTCAGCCGTTGTATGCTCCGTCCTTCTTCAGGTGATCTACATTACAGTGACTTGACCCAAAGAGTTGTGAGTTCCATACTTGGCCACAGAGGAGGTGAAAAAAGAAAGAAAAAAACGTGGAGAGTTGATTTACTAAAGGGAATTAACTGAAAAACTGAGATATCCAGAAAAGGCATGGCACGTGGAACTAGAACAATCTGACCCACTGGACTAAATAAAGGGTTCATTTTGAAATTCCAACATATATCACCTGAAGAAAGCCGGAGCGTACAACGGCCGAAACGTCGTGAGAATGATAATAAAGATGAGGACCAAAGTCCGAACAATGTAAATAGTCCAATTAAACAATTCTTTTTTAAATAATGTTTTTTATGTCCTGATTAATTAAGTGTTTATGTCTTGATTAATTAAGTGTATACGCCGGCAAAATTTAAAAAAACAAGACCTGAATTTGCATTAACATTTTATTCAATCTGATATTTCGTCAGTTACTCTCAGCCAGTCTACGGCATGCGGACATACCCGTAGCCGATATGCGTACCTTGCATTTCTTCTGCGATGTATGGGAAACTCTTCAAATAATCTCGGACATGATTTGCTTATACGTCCAACGGTTATACTCACGCGTGCACAATATCAGGAGCCGTCAGGTACACAATTGTTCACCTCTCGAGTTCGCAGCGTATAAGGCCTCAACTCTGCAGTTGGCTTCCTTTGACGGTCTGGCGTGAAATCAAGGCCAAGACGATTCCAGCACAATGACACATCAATATCGGCATCAGCACGTTTGCGAAGGATCAAACTGGTTCTCTTTTCCCGCAAAGAAGGATTTAAACGTTCAGAATATAAGGTTAACACTGACTGGTAGCAACCCTAAAATGAACCTCAATAACATAACACCGTCAAATATTTAGTAAAACATTTCCACGGTTTGTTTTTTAACCTGTTGGCTTTCACCAAGCCATTAACTGAGTTGTTCTTACTCTTTTAAAATTATTCGGATATTAATCACGAAATAACCCGTTACTTCAATGGAGTCTTGCGGTTAATTACTTTTTCTTTGTTCGACTCAGTCAAGATCATAGAGTAAATCACTCCGGACGATAATTACGAGCGCGATGAACTTTTCAATGATCGAATAGTATGCGCCTCACCAGATAGATAGAGATCTTGAATTCAGAGTTGACCTTCTCCCAGACAAATTAGCAACCACAGCTAAAGACCTCAGTCGGCTATTTAACTTATAGTTGAGGGCAAAATAGATTTCATTGTTATTTTGTTATTACTATTTGGGCTTGCAGATGTCATTGCCATAGTCACTGGTTATGGGCAAATTAGATTCAAGCTTTTCTCAGGGAAATTACAGCGATTTATTTGCAGTGTTAATCGATAAAATTAAATGAGTCAACACAAAGTGCAATTATAAATGGACATCGTCTATTTGCTCGATGATAATTTAAACAAAATCAGAAAAATATTCTGAACAACGAATATCATAGAATACTTGCTTAGTGAATATATATAAAAAAGAAAAAAATACCTTACGGAGGGAGTTTATAGTGGCAGATATAAACCCCTAGTAAAAAGAAAATAAAAGAACTAAGTATGAACAGGGAGAAATCAATAGATATGGAACAACAATACATTGCAGGCTCAGTCAACGGAATGAAATGAATCATTAAATTGTGGCCATAACGAAACATAACCTACAGACTTTATTAAAAGTAAGATTACAGCGGATATTTCAAGAGAGTCATAAATTTCCAGATATCAGAGATTTTAAGATGAATTATAGTGAATATAAAATTGTGACCATAACGGAATCCATCTCTCAAACTGTATTAAAAGTAAAATTAAAAAGGATATCTTTCCTGACAGTAATAAATTTCATGATATCAGAGATTTTAAGATGAATTATAGTCAATATTAAATTGTCACCATAACGGAATCCATCTCACAAACTGTATTAAAAGTAAAATTAAAAAGGATATCTTTCCTGGCAGTCATAAATTTCAAGATATCAGACACATTCTGGTGAATATTTTTATTTTTCGTTGATAAAGGAAAATCTTTATTTTATTGTTTGTGTAAATTGCCAATTGCTTTTATTCTTTAACGTTCTTCAAAAATATTTCCTCTGTAAAAGTGCGTACAACATCCAGAGAGAAATGTCAATTTGAAATGAATTCGACAATGTCGCTGCTGCTGCTGCTGCTAAAAGTGAATGCTCGCTACAATTGGATGAGTGAGTGCAGAGCACACTTACAAACGTAAACGAGTCACAGATGCGATTTTGTGATAAAGTCAACAAGCGTCCACAACGGACAAAAGCAAGGTCATGTCCGATTAGTAAACTGAAGTGTCCGATACGAGTCGAATGATACTTTGTTGTTTCATGGTTTCCTGTTTGCTGTCGTGTTATGAAGAGATAAAAAGCAACAGATGTTTGATGGAAGAAAATAAGGAGACTTTCCCTCTTTATCCACGGGGGCTATGTCCTAAGATTTACAGCAGACGACTGAAACAGCGGATAGTACCGAACCCTATATACACTTGTCCCATTTATCCACATGGAATATATTCCGTGGATGGTTGAAACCATGGACATAACCAATTTCTTTATGCAGTAGTTTTCCTTTATCCATGTGCAATATGTTCGAATATGATGGACAGATGCCTGAAACCATGCACAGCACCGAAATTCTCGATACAGTATTCCATCCTTATCCACGTAAGATAAATGGGGAAGTCCTCAGCGGATACCTGAAAACATGGACAGCACCTAAATTCTCTATACAGTATTCCACCCTGATCCACGTAGGATAAATCAGGAAGACGTCAGCGGATACCTGAGACCATGCACAGCACCGAAACTCTATACAGAGTATACCACCCTTATCCACATTTGATATATTGTGAAGTCCTCAGCGGATACCTGAAACACGGGCAGCTCCGTAACCCTCTATACAGTATTCCACCCTTATTCACGTAGGATAAATTTAGAAATCCTCAGCGGGTACCTGAAACCATGGACAGCACTTAAATTCTCTATACAGTATTCCACCCTGATCCATGTAAGATAAATCGGAAAGTTGTCAGCGGATACCTGAAACCATGCACAGCACCGAAACCCTTATCCACAATTGATATATTGTGAAGTCCTCAGCGGATATCTGAATCTGTTGATATGGAATATTGTTTATAGAACTTAGGCATCCGTTGCTGATTTTAGAAAATACCCCAAGTGTGTGGCAATAATCTTGGTTTCAGGCATCGACTGTGGATTTCCAAACTTATCCCATGTGCATAATTGTAATGGTAATATTAGCCTTTCTTTCCTTTCAAGAAAACATTCGGAATGTAAGTGGAGAGAGTGTTGTATTATGAATAAGAAAATAGAACAATTATAATAATATGTAATAAAGATTATGTGAGAGATAGAAGATTAATTTTTGCTGTAGATCTTAGTAACCTAAGATTTAAAACGAGAACTTTTACCTTTTCATTTAATGTAACTTCTTTACGGTTTCACTTTGGAAAAAAAAACAAACAGACTGCCAGCATCAGTCTTGCACGTTGGAACCACCATCAGTCTTGCACGTTAGAACCACTATTCTGTAAAACCTAGCACTTCTGTTTCTGTGGTTGACTTTGGTTAAATCAACCGTCGGAAGGCGATATCCCAGATAACGAGGACCATTGTCATAAATTAATTGTTACTAAGTAGTACCAGTGGAAATATCACGGCTTTCCAATTGTAATTCTTTGAGGAATCATAATTCTTTATTTAATGATTGAAGAAGTTCATGGCGAGCTTCCCAGCATTAAAATACCTGTAAAATTTCCTCTGTTGTATCGTTAAATATTCGAGCTTAACAACTTTAATAAAATATTGCAATAAAAATCATAAATCATATGAATGCTGGTCATTGTTTAAAAAAGTATGAGGGTACAAATAACAAAAATTTAAATTGACTAGTTTTTACATTTAACTGAAGATTTTCTATTTCGCCGCTTCTTTGTTTTTTGTTTTTTTTTCTCAATGAAACTAAAATAACTTCTCTGATATCCCTTTACCGTTTTTCCTTGTGATCAAAACGGAATAGTCCATTATTTATGAAGTACTGGCCGGGTGTAAGGTATGCGCAAACTAACTAAGGAATTTAGCAAAGTTATAATATGATAAAGCGCCTTTATTCTTTGGCTTCGTTTCAATAAATTGTAAAAAAAAAATTGATCGATATAAACAAATATTGAAAGTTAAAATCCACGAAATGCTGCTAATTTAACTTAAATGAGATTTGGTGCTAAAAACTTTAATCTGACTCATTTTTTTTAACTAAATCATATTTGAATGATAAAAAGAAGCTTATAACCCATCTTATAATTTCATACCAAATATTAAATTCAAGTCTTAACTTATGCCATCTTACAT